TCACCATCACCATCATCACCATCACCACCACCACTACCATCATCATCATCATCATCAACATCATCAACATCAACGCCATCATCACCATCACCATCATCACCACCATCACCATCATCATCATCTGTAACGTTCCAAAATTTAAGACTAAAAATTTCTTTTAATAAAACATTACTTAAAGCAAAGTCATCATTCCAAAACATAATCAGAATATTAATTTTCAAAACACATGTTCATTATCAGAGTAAACATTCCCAGGCTATCTAATCTATGGTGTGTGCCATGCGATCACCCCGAGCTCTTCCCTCTGCTACCGGAAGTACCTGAAACCAAAACTGAAAACCGTAAGCACGAAGCTTAGTGAGTTCCCCACCCTACCACATACCATGCATAACCACATATTGCACATACTGGGCCAAGCCGCTATCTTGGGCCTCACCCCTACCTCGGGCCTCGCCCGCTACAACGGCCCCTTTGCTCCAGGCCCCGCCTGGCTTCGAGCCCCACTCGGATATAGATCTGTTTCAATTAGGCCTCGCATGTCACAGGGCCTCGCCCACTAACAAATAATAACACATACACATATCACAACACATAAACTAAACACATACAACTTATCATGTCCTAAGGCCTCGCCTATCCTGGGCCTCGCCCTTGTCCTGCTACTGATGAGTCATGGAACCCCGTCCATGCTCCTACTGGTAGTGAGATACGGGCCTAGCCCACTCTCACTCCTTCCCTAACTTGGGCCTCGCCCCTGTTCTGCTACTAATGAGATGTGGAACACCATCTACACTCTGCTATTGGTGAGATACGGGACCTCGACCACACTCACCTCCCTACCAGGTACATATATGTATCACACAGACAACAAGTATAAACTAACATATAAACAAATCCTTGGGCACCCGCCCGCTATTAATGGACCTCGTCCTGAATATCATACTAGCATACTGTGCCTAGGGCTAACCCCCATGCCTTCTACTCATAACTACATGGGCCGGTATTATGGCCTTAGTCCCATTCACACAAAGGGAAACTCACCTGCTTTTGCTGAACTAGCTGATAACCCCTCTAACTGCTGCCCGGCAACTCTCTAAACTCCTGCTCCACTAGCTCTCCGAGCTACCAATATCAATGCAACACTTAGTTTAATTGACCCCCGAAAGTCAATCCAGTCAATGCTGGTCAAAGTCAAAGTCCTGGCCAAGGTCAACCTCCCAGGTCAACCCTACTCGCCGAGTCAACTTACTGACTCGTCGAGTTCATATGCTCATAGTCCTTCCTTTCGCGACTTGACTCGCCGAGTCAGTCCATGACTCGCCGAGTCTACCGATATCCCAGTCCTGACCTGTCCGACTCACCAAGTATCCACTCGACTCACTGATTCGAGTCTCAATTCGAAGGGTTTGGGGTTTCGCGACCTGACTCGCCGAGTCCAAGAGCAGACTCGCCGAGTACAGGGCAATCTTCATCTGACTCGACGAGTTGTTCATCCCACTCGTCGAGTTGCTCCTAATCTTCATGCTACTCGCCGAGTCCATTCAGATCTCCTTACATGCAGAGGACTTTTGAGGCATGCATGGACTCCAAACTGTAGATCTACCCTTCCCAAGCCTATTCCTCACATAAAGTTGCAAACTTTACGTGTAGAGAAGGAGATTGAGGCAAAATACACCCTAAACTAGGGTTTAAGGAAAAAAGGCTCCATAATCAACTCAAGGGCATATACTTTATGCTTCTCAAGACCATAATATGCTTAGATCCGAAGTAGCAACTTCAGATCTGGCTTCTAACTCAAATGGATACCATTATGGCTAAAAAGCCCTAACACCCACACATAGATCTAGGTACAATAGAGTCCAAGAACTAGTTTATTACCTCCAAATGCTCAGAAATATCTTCCTAATCCCAGATCTATAGCCCCTTCTTGCACCTCCAAGATCCTTCTTCCTTCTCCAAGCTTTAATGCACGCTTCAAGGAAACAATTGGCTCAAACAATGGATATGGCGGCTAGGGTTTGGTGTTCTGGGTTAGAGAGGTAGTAAAGGAACCCTAGGGAAGAGAATGAGGCGCTTAAATAGGCTCCAAGTCCTGAATTTAGGGTTTTCCTCGCACAGACCAGACTCGCCGAGTCGGTCACTTACTCCTCGACCCGGATCCCGCTCGGACTCGCCGAGTTCCTCCTTGGACTCGCCGAGTCGCCCCTTAAAATTAGGGTTGTTTTTCCTTTCTTGGCCTTCCAGACTTTGGGTGTTACATCATCATCATCATCATCACCATCATCACCATCACCACCACCATCACCACCACCACCACCACCACCATCATCATCATCATCACCATCACCACCACCATCACCACCACAACCATCATCATCATCATCATCATCATCATCATAATCATCAACATCATCACCATCATCATCATCATCATCACCATCATCATCATCATCATCACCATCATTTCATCCACCACCACCACCACCACCGCCGCCGCCAC